GCTGGAGGCCTGGGCCTCGTTGAAGAAGAGCTGTTGCTGTAGGGTGGCCCGTTGGTGCTCTACTTCCTTGGCTTCGAGCTGGTCGCACTTGTTCTGGATGTGGCGCTGCGCCTCGAGCTGGAGCTCCGCCTATTGGCAAACCACCTCTCGCTCCCTCTGGACCGCGGAGTGCTCCTCCAAGAGCTTCGTGGCGGCGAGGGCCGTCTTCTGCTGGATCACATGCTCTTGGTGGATCCCCTCTCGCATTAGGTCTGCCTGGGCTTCCGCGATCTGCTCGGCGATGTCGTTTTTTTCTTTGCATCTCCTGGGCCGCCAGGACTTGCGCGGCCTGCTCCTCGAGGCGGAGGTCCTGGTTCATCTGCTCTATCCTCTGGCCCTCGCGCTGCAGGCGTTTGTACTCACGATGAAGTTGTTCGCTCTGTGCTTGCTGGCGGGCTGCTTTCTCGGCGGTTGATGCGATGCAGGTCTGGGAGGCCGTTTCCGCTCGGATGGCATCGAGCGCGTGGTGGGTCTCCTGGCGCTTCTGCTCGTAGGTGAGCTTCTGGCGGTCGAGGTCGTATCTCATCGCGCGCTCGTTGTTCTCCATCCTCTGCGCCTCCTGCTGCATCTTCTCGGCGTAGATCCGATGGGCGAGCTCTTCTCGCTGCTGGAACGCGCGCTCTTGCTGTGCTTCTTGGTGGCGGAGTGCATCGTTGTTCCTTGCCATGGCTTGCTCCGTGGCGTTCATGGCCGTCTTGGAGAGCGCTTGCTCGTGGTGCACGAGTCTGTCTCGGCTCTGCATCTTCATCTCCGCAAAGCACTGGCGCATGGTCTCAACCTCCTCCTCGTATTATTCTGCCTTTTTTTGCGGAGCTCGGCATTGGCGATTTTGACCTGACTCCTTCCTTCTCGGCGTGCTTCCTCATCCTTATTCCTGAGCTGCTCTGCGATGCTGCTTGATGGCGAGGCCGGCCTGCTCGAGCACGAGGATGGATGCCCTCGACTGGCGCGACGGCGAAATGGGGCGTTGGGTCTTTCTTTTGTACTGCTTTTTGTCGTCCTTGGAGTCAGCTGCACAATCAGTGTCGGCTTCGGCGGCAATTTCGAGCTTGACGTCCGCGATGAGGCGCTTGAAGTCGGCGGTGCGCTGTATGTTGGCATCGGCCCTGGTCTGCAGAGCCTCCTTCTTCTCATGGATGGCTCTCTGCTCTTTTGCCAGCACCTCGATCTGAGACCGATACTGTTGAAGCCGAACGTGTGGATCCGTGGCCATCGCGAGCATACACTTGATCACCGAGGCCTCCGTGAGTAGCTTGCTGGCGTCGACCTTGGCGGACTGCGCACCATTGATCTGATCGGCAACTCGGCCGAGCCTCTGCTGGAGGCTCCTCGTCCACAGCTTCCTCATGTCTGGGTCCTCTGGCGGAAGGCCGAAGGACTCGTGGTCGCGAGAATTGGAGAATGGAAGCTCGAGCACGGCGTCGGCGATGGCCTGCTGCCTCTTGCTGAGGATGTAGTCCTGGATGTGGACGGCTGCTTTCTTTTTCAAGCGGATCTGCTCCAGGGACGCTTGTTTTGGTAAGTGGAGCTCCTCCAAGGCCATGGCTGCTCACCCACTGCGGGCCCAGGGTGTGTGGTCCCTGCTCCTGACCACCTTTCCCCTGGACCCTGCGCGGGCGCCTGGGCTGTGGACCCTGCTCCTGTCCACCTTTCCCAGCGCCGCGCTGCGACGCCTCGAGGTGAGTGGCTCCTGCTCCTGACCACGTTTCCCTCGAGGCGCCGCGCTGCTGCTTCCAGTTCTGCGTCATGGCGTTTTGCTAGTGGCGCTGGGGCTGCTGCGAGCTGTGGTGCTGCTCGAGCCTGCTGGCTGCCGCAGCCAGCCTGAATAGCAGCCTGTCTTGTCCTCTTTGGGTCCTGGCGCGGCGGTGCCAGGCCTCCTCCTTGGTCCTGGGCGTGGCGGTCAGGTGACCGCCGCGGCTGCGGCGCCTTTTTATCTTCTCTTTGATGGCTCCGCGGCGCGCGAGCCACGACCGAAGGGGCGACCGACGAGGGCGAAGCCGCGACGGTCCCGGCCCCTCCTTGAGCCAAAATGGCTTGAGCCAAAATGGCTACGGACTCCTCCCCCTCCTCCTCCTCCTCCTCCTCCTCCTCCTCTTCCTTCTCCTCTTCCTCCTCCTCATCCTCCTCCCCCTCCTCCCCCTCCCCCTCCTCCTCCTCCCTCCTCCCTCCTCCTCCTCCTCCTCCTCCTCCTCCTCCTCCTCCTCCTCCTCCTCCTCCTCCTCCTCCTCCTCCTCCTCCTCCTCCTCCTCCTCCTTCCTCCCTCGAAGGCTTTCTGCGCCTTCCCCGAAGGCACAGGACACTTCTCAGAAAACCTGAGCGCTTCTGAGAGGCCCCGCCGCCTTCTGATGAGAAGGCCTTTTTTCCGTCCCGTTTCCCCCCCTCGCTCGACGCCGGGAGAAGGCGCAGGAACTCGGTGCCTCAACGCGGTTGTTTGTCGAAGTCGGCACGAGATCTGTCAGTGCTGCCAGCGCGTGGACACAAGCCGGTCATCATCGCATGGGACAAATTGGGGGAACGCAGCCGGCAAAGGGGAAAAACCGTTCCGGAATTGGGCCGCGCCGGGATCATTTTGGCATCGCTCGGACTTGTGCCTTTTTCTTCCGGCGAGGACCATCGAGGAGCATCCTTGATCATTTGGCGAAGAATCCACGCACGAGACATAAAAATGCACAGGGACTGGACGTCCGAGCGATGGCCAGTCCCCCATCCCCCCCCTCCCCCTCCCCCTCCTCCTCCTCCTCCTCCTCCTCCTCCTCCTCCTCCTCCTCCTCCTGTCGCCCGACGTCGCCCGCAACCTTAGGTCGCCGAGACATGATGTAATCCCTGCAACCGGGAAATATTCGTATGCTTGAGCCTACATTAGCTTCCAATTCAGCGTTAGAGGACTTCAACAAAACAGAGCTAGGATCGGGATAAATCGCTCCAGAGCGTTCCGGAGCGCTCTCAGAGCGTTCCGGAACGCTCTGGAGCGGCCGCGGCGCCAAATACATCCTCCAAACCCGCCGATTCTCAGAGATGTCGAGTTTTCCCGATCCGATTTTGTCCCGATCTTCGCGTCGTTTTATTCAAGGCTGCTCACGATGCCCGAAAGACGGTCCAACTAGATATAAACATGTCCCAATCATGTTCCAAAACTGCCCTGGAGGCTGCCAAGATGTCCCAATCCAGGTTTCTGGAATAGCTGCCCTTCCTGGATGTGTCGGCCGAGCGAGCGTCCAAGGCGGCCTCAGAAGTACCCAAGATCTCCCGCAGACGGCTCTGGCAACACACGCGCGATCCCCCGGCTGGCCACAGCAGTACCCGACAGGGCCCCCGAACGGCCCAGCAGAGCTCGAGGGCGGCCCGAGGGGGTGCCAAGACGCATCCAGGACGGCCTCAATGGAACCCCATGGCGGCAGGGAGAGTCTGGGGCCCGCCCAGGAAGGCCAAGGACCGCCGAAGGCGGCCCCGAGACGATCCGGGGGAGCACTCAATCACAGTCGAGTGAGTCTTACATCCCACGAATGTCGCTGGACTCTCTTGTTTCACGGAGGTCGCTCACAGCAAGCGGCTTCCATCGAGGGCCTCCATCGAGAGCCAGCATATTGTGTTAGCAGCGTGCAGCGTAGCGTATCCAGCACCTGGGCAGCATTCCGTCCCATGTTAGTTGTTTCAATTCAATAGGCCCGGGGTCCCTCTCAATGACAGGTGGCGACGGTGGCTCGACGCAAGCGTCTTCGATGATCGTTCTCCTGCCCCTTATAGCCAAGACGCTGAAATAAGGACTGCGTTGGGCTCAGGAGGGTCTCTGGTTTTCGGGCCGTTCCTTAGCTCTATGTCGTGGGACCTGTTCGTGGCCTAGGACCACCGTGGCCAGGAAAGAGCCTTCGTTCCTTTTACGCTACCCTTATGGTAGCACGGTGATAGTATCATCCTTATTCTCCTCCTAACCCGTCCTTCCCCATCCTTCGTAATTTCCCTCCTCATTCACAGCTCTCCGACTCCTGCATGTCCTCCTGCTCCGTCTCCTACTCACTCTTCCTTTGCGTTCTTCTGTTTCGAATGTTGGGTTCTCAAACTGTTCAGCTGACGTAATTAGCTCCACAGCGTCCCCAGGAGGGGCCACGGATCGTTTGAAAGGACCCCAGCCTTCCTTACCCAGAGGCGTAATGGACACCATGAGGTTCTGGATGATCAGAGCACGGTCTGTCTTTCGCGCTATGTTTTGCCGCCCAAGCGAGCTAGATCTTGAGCGCGCGCGAAGCGCGTGCGATGGTTGTAACTTCAAGAATGTTCGCTCCCCGCTCGGGGTATCGAGGTGTTTTGTCTTCGCAGTGCGATCGTTTGCCACAATGGGGGCGTTGGTAAATGAATGACGACCCCACGTTCGGTGTGGTGCATTGCGCTGCATGTTTTGCTGTTTGGCTGAAAATGTATGTGTTTTCTCCGAGCCAGTACGTGCTCGCTTGTCTTTCAGTGCGAGTCATTGCGTTGTTTGGCATTGTGGTACGATGTCATAATTGTCGTGAGTCGCGTTCTTTTGCTATGTGTATACTCGAACAAAGTATTGGGCCGATGTGGTTTAGTTTGCTTTGCCATGCACTGCATGGCGTTGTTTTGTAATGCTGTGCAAACCTCCGCATTGCGTTGCGTTGCTTTGGTTTGGCGTTTGCAAGCGTTGCGGTGTAAGCGTGTTCGCGGGGATGGTATTGAGGAGCTTGGGTTGGGCTTCTCGACGAGCTGAGGTGGCTCAAGGAGCCTGGCCTCGCTGACCAATCACCGCAAGGCTCTTCGTAAAACAGGACAGCCGATGTCAGGACGCCTAGGCAAAGCCAGACTGGGAAAAGAAGGAGCACGACATTTGTGAGGCGGCAGATTTGTTGCGATGGCTTGCGATCACGTGGCTTTCGATTGTAGCCCGCGAGCGTCCAGCGTTTTATCCCTCGAGGGTTCGTCATCGCAGTTTTTCTGTCCCTGGGCAGGTTCGGGTGCCTGTCGTGCGGTCAGGCTCGATAGATAATAATCACGACGGCCTGCCAGACGTGTGGACTCTTTCGCTGCAGATGCCGAAAGTCATTGAGGGCGTGCGGCACATCGTTTTGATGGCAGTGTATGGATTTGAATTGCGAGACAGGGTGCGAGAAAGGATGAGTGGTTTGGTTGCTGTCGACGTTTCCAGCCCGTATCTTTCATCAGGCGTCTGGGTGCAGGGCGAATTGCGATTGAAGCAATCGCTTCCTCTGCACGTCGGGACTGAGGCACGCGACATTTACGATGAGAGTCCGCTCTCGCTGAATTTCGCTTCAAACTGGGCCTCTGCGAATCAGCCAATCAGCATGCGTTCTTTATTACAGAGGTACGCCGTCAGAAATGAGTCGGTTATCTTCGCCAGCGAGTTGCCGCCGTCGTGGGATTATAGTCCACAGGACTATATCAGCATTAATTTGGTTTTAGCTGTGCCACCACAGCAGGTGCGTTATGTTCCAAGTGCGTGGGAGATGCTGAAGGTCGCTTGGATGCAAGTGTTGTCTTTCATAATTCCGGTGTGGCTCGTCCTGCGGTCTTTGAAGTCGTTCGCCTACGACAACCAATTGGTGGATACATATATTGTTCCAAATCTTCCACCGCTGAGCGAGATGTGATGCGCATTCTGTGGCGGCTAAGCTAAATCATCGTCATCAATACCTTCTCTAGGCAACATCGTTGTCATCATCGCAAGCGTCACGAAATCGTCATCAGGCATAATCATCACCGTCATTGTTACCATCATTGTCGTCTACAGCAGTGGTCATTGTGGCTGAAGTGCTTCAGCACATCTGGACTGGCGCTGCCTGGTCTCATGTACCAGCACCCAGGACTTCAACACGATCTAAGATGCCCCCCAAGGGAGCCCCAGGAAGGTCCTTGGGCTTGGGGGCTACCGAGGGGTCCAACGACGCTTGAGCGTTTCTTGAAAGGGTCTGCGGGTACGGTGGTGTAGATGTGGGCTGGTTGTGTTTGCTGGAGGCCTACGCGAGAATCGCCGTCAGCGTCAAAGAGAGCTCAGGAACGCCCCAGAATTCCAGCACCTTTGTGTTCCAGACCGCTGATGATCCGACAGTCTTTGAAACCCTTGGGGCAATGAAACACGGTGAAGGATTGATCCTTCTCAGCCATTCGACAATGGTAGTTAGTGATCCAGAGCCGACGCGATGGGAATGAAATACGTAAGCGTCGCTCGTTCTCGTCAAGGTGTCTTGGGACTCGTAGGAGGGGCCAAGGGGACGAGCGATTGATTCGGGGAGTCTCTTCGGATATGCACAGTGGAGGTAGGGGACCTCTCGGCTGGGCAGGGCTCCTCCTCGTCGCAGACAGGTCTGCCTCAGCACTGCGTTTCAGATTCGATCTCCTCCCAGCATCATCAGGACTTCGCCCCAGGTGCCATGGTTGGTTGGGGCCTCGGATCGGTAGAGTTCGTTCTGGTTGAGAAGAGATCGCTTTTTAATGATGGGCTCAAGATGTTGCAACCGATACGTCCAGTCCTCATGTGAATGTATAGACATCGCGAAAACACCGCACACGCGTGCCCTGAACGCCAGGCCTCGGAGTGGCGGTCTTTAGCACGCCCGGGCGTGGGTGTGATCTCCAATTGAAAACATTGGTCTCTACCGCATCGGAACGATTCTTCTTGGTTGCATGGGGCCGTCAGCAAGGTGATTACTCACATCCACTGGGGCTCAATTTCCATGGGAGGCGTGCAACTGTCCGTCGTACTGGAATAGTGTTACATGC